TAACGGTGTATGATCTTCATGTTATGTTTTGTAACTTGTCTGTTCCTCCCCTCCCTTGAATTGTGAGCCGCCCTGAGTCCCCCCAGGGAAAAGGGTGGCATACAAATAAAGTAAAATCTAAATCTAAATCTAAATCTCTAAGCACGGTGACGTCACCACAGGAAGTAACTCTGAACTTCCTAACAAAGTGAAACTTCTCTATTTTTAAGTCACTTGTTGAAACTGTCGAAGTCAGCTTTTTCTAATGAAGATATTTGACAAATCCAGATTCTGGGTGTTGTTGTTTTTTTGCCCGACTTCTCAAATGTCATAAAATCAATCTGATTCAGGTTTTCCTAATGTCTGGTTGGGTAGGAAAGTACCTGTGCAATACTTCAATTATCAACAGAAACTATTTGTAGCTTGGGGTTGGAATGAGGAATACTTGGTGCTCTCTGAACTTGGAGGTTTTCCTTGCAGATGTTTCATGACCCAACTGAGTAACATCATCAGTGCTAGAAAGGAATGGGGTTTGTAGAGGACGAGGAGGACGACTGTGAGGCACTCTCTGAGCTTGGTGGCTTTCTTGCAGATGTTTCACGACCCAACTAGGTAACGTCGTCAGTGCCATAGGGAAGTGGGGTTTGTGGAGAGGAAGAGGAGGAGGAGGACTGGGATCCTTGTTGCTCTCTGAGCCCGGTGGTGTTCTTGCAAATGTTCCATGATCCAACTGAATAACATCAGGAAGGAATGGGGCTTGTTGCCAATGCCCCTCCGAGCACTGATGAAGTTATCTACTCTGGCAGTGAAACGTCTGCAAGAAAACCACCAAGCTCAGAGAGCACTTCAATTATCATTAAGACCAATCACTGACTCACCATGAAATTAAAATGAATTATTATGGGGTTCCTATAATGGTCTCCTGTTTGGGAACTGGCAAAACACAATCTTGCTTATTAGCTGCTCCCAAAGTTGCTACCTCATACAGGCTGTGTCTTTTTTGGCCTCCTCATTTCAGCGGGAAGAACTAAGGAATGATCCCCCTTAATTAATATGTTCTGTCTGAGCATAAGGGATCTATTCCTGCAGAGGGAATAGATATCTA